TGCGTGCTCACCCAAAACACTTCAAGCTTTAGCCATTCCAAACCCAGAAACAATAACCATTTTGCTGCCGTGCTCTAGCCACAGTAAACAACCCAGCAAACCATGCACTGTCGTGCTCTAGATAAAACCCAGGCCTTAGCCTCTCCATTCTCATTCTCTTCCATAATATCACCTTAAGCCTTGGACACCATCCAATCATTCCACAATACACTCCCATAACCATTCATTTCTCAAGCAAGTTACTCTCTCCTGCTAAACTTATGGATTCTTAGCTCCCACGCCACAAGCCTCTCATGCCAAGCTCAATATCTTAACTCATCAAAGGAAACTCTCATGCCAAGCCTATCTCTGTACAACCAAAACACATCATCCTCAACCAAAATAGGGCAAAATATTCTTGGTGATAGATGAAGCGAGAACAAAATGTATCTCTCTCACACACATAAAAACATAAATTGTAGAGGTTTCAATTCAGTGATGAAATCGAACTCATAACTCGGAGTGGCTTGGGTCAGGACAGGTTCGCCAAGTGAAAATATTTATTTTATTGGATATGAAAATATATTCAACTATATTTAATCTTAACTTTTTAATATCCAACTATATTGTATAACAATTTAGACTAAATATAATGGATAATATGTATTAAATATTTCGGGTGGTCCTATCCTCTATGTATATTTATGTGATTTTTTTAGGTAAGTTAAAAAAAAATTATATGAACTCAAAGTCACAATTGTGACTTAAAAAGAAAATTAACAATATGTAATTCACATAACAACATTATAAAATACATCAATACATCACTTAAATATCACTCGTCTTACATTTTTCGATGTAAAAGTATCAATTGACTTTACATAATCAAGTTTTTTTACCATGTCTTTTTCAATGAATAACATAACTAAAACCATTCAATAATCTTTCTTATAACATAGTTGATCGAAGGTTAGATTTGATCAACTTCAACTTTGAAAAGCTTCTTTTTGCTGAGGCAATAGAAAATATAAATAATCATGAACATCAATGATATTAAGCACACACATACTACTTTGCAATGAAAGTATTTGCTCTAATACTTTAGTGTAAAACAAGCTTTGAGTTGAATTCCTAGTACTCTTTTATTTTTTTTTATGTTTTTTGTCTTTAAGGTCATTGGCCATGGGTTGCTATGTAATTTCAAACAACTCCAGTTAATGTTACATCTTCATATCCGTTGCTTTCCACCCTGTGTTGTGTTTTGTTTTTAAATTTTAAATATTTTTCTGAGTCCATTTATTCCTCTCACCAACTAAACAAATAAAAAGGGATCCTTATTTATAAAAATTAAAATAAATAAATAAAAGCAATCCCTAAACTATGTGCATCGGCGACAACAACAACAACAGCGCATTGACTGCCGCGCTAAATCAGGAGGAGACTACAGCTTTTGCAAGGACCACAAGAATGAAGAATAAATATTGTAATCTGGTAAAACCAAGATCAAGCATGTGAAATCCAATTTTAAATACAAAACCTTTTTATTTTTAATTTTTAATATTCATAACATAATCTTGGTCAAAAATCAAACTGTGGTTCCTTTTTTTATTTTTTAAAGTAAAGACATGGTAAGCACAAATACATTTCTTAATTTATTTTGAAATCATTAAATTTGTTTTGGGTATATGTTAAGCATGCATGTGTGATTTGCTGCCCATAAATCTAGAGAAATTATAGAGTATTACGGTAGCATGTACATGTGATACATTTCCCATTTTTAGAAAATAGTATCAATAAATATTCACTTATATTATACACGTGTACAAGATGTACCACGTGACCGTATTACCGTAGTATTCTATAATCTGACCTCGTAGCCCCCCATCCCTTTTTTTTTTTGTGGCTACATTGGGAGGAAAGAAACCCCTTAAATTTCAAACCTGGATGTCAAGCACGGGGAAGCACGAGGTCACCACTTTGATTTGCTACTAGACTGTTTTGTGCTCTGCTGAGTTTGTAAGGAACAAATTTCCATAATATATGTATATAATTAAGAAGCTTCTAGCATGAAATGAATTGTCCAATTTTGTTTGTATTGGCATTGGGAACATGTAATATGCAAATCAGGATGAGATGTTGTTAATTATTCACTAATTTATAATTAGAAAATCATATGAGAGACCAATATAAAATTCCTTGAGCATATCACCCACCAAACTCTATGAAAACAAAGATGTGTATTAAATTAATAAATGTTCAGTGATTGATATGGGCTCTCCATTAAGGTAAACTGAGGTTGGTCCTCCCCACTACTTTGGATCATCAAAATCTCCTTAGTTTATGAGATAATAATCTTCAATTTAGAAGCAATTAAAACAAACACATGCATTTGCAGGTTCTGTGTTGTACGTGTGATAATAACAATATATTTTTATAAATAAACTCATTTTGGCATGACGTATTATACGTACAAAAATCCATATAGAGTTTATTTGGAGAGAAAACCGCAAAATAGTCACTTGTCATTTTCTAATTGGTTTTTAGAAAATTCTATATTTATTACTGACAAAAAAAATTTGATATTTTTATTCAAACTGAAATTTTGCTTTATCAAGTTTTGTGTCTTCTGGTTCTAGAGATATTCTAGAATTTTGGATATTTGTCTCCGTGGAGACTTTTGTTTCTTTTCTTACAAAGGAGGAATTGAACCTAATCATGACCCCACCCTATCTCATGCCCAAGATGTGTTAGGTTAATGTCAAATCTCATGTTTGGAGCCCTCCTAAATCACAACATTAATTTTAAAATAAGTTTTGATGGTTTCGTTTTAGCATTGAGACATGAGATTTCCTGGCCTTCAATGAGTTCCTACGGCATATATTCGAACGAATTAATTAATATGGTAGCTGACACTCTAGTAAAGAAGACACACACTTGTTCAAATCCTTGTATATGATTATGTCATTTTCCTTTTGATATTTCACATAACATTAAGTTTGAAGTTTGACATGTATAGTTATAAGATTCGCGTTGTTTTATTTTTTTTCAAAAGCAACAAACAAATTGTATCATTTAAGAAAGAAAACGATACTTATAAGGAGATGTAGTTTTAGTAATTAAGAGCGTTTAAACTCTAAATATAATATTGAGGCATTTAGACATTAGGGCCAAAATCATTTCCTGACCTTGTAATCTTGACCATTCATTTGAAATCAACTATCACAAAATAATTTATGCTTTAATGTTCAACACATATCGAATAGAGAAAGATGTTCGTTCTACACTAAAATTCGTAATCTAATATTTGAAAAACCAAGAATTAATTAGATCTTAGGGTGGTCTATAGTTTATCCCACACCTATTTTTTGTTTCCTCAATTCATGACTTTCCCTCAATCGAGTAAATATATCACTAATTCCTTACTTCCTCTCTACTTACTAACATACAAGTATTTGTCACTAATTCAATACTTGAAAAGTCAGTATTGATTATTAGAGGGGAGAGTTGATTCCCATGTACTCATTTAATTCATTCTCGCTCATATTCTCCGATTCATGGCTTCCATCATTCCAAATAAGTAGACATGCACTTACGTGGATTTTCAGAGGACTTTGTTACATTTGTGTTTTGTATTATTATTGTAAATTAATGTGTAATTTTCAAAAGCTGGGAAATGCTTATTAGGTGAGTTAGTCTCAGTAGTTTACTCTATTATAGACAGATCAGTTTAAGTAGGTTCTTTTATGCTTAGGTCCGTTTCTAGCTATGTTCATATTGGAAAAATTGGGTTTAAATTGTTATATTCATATAAAACAAATTATAAATAATTCATGCAATTAAATACACAAATTCAATAGATCACACATTCATTAAAAATGATACACAAACAAAGAAATTTTTGGTTAGAAGAACTTGAAAGTCGGTCGAGGTAAATGTTTGGCATTTTGTCTTTAAAGACAATTTGCGCCTCACTATGATGCTCTCATAGTTGATCGGCGCTTGCCTATAATTCTAGTGTGCATTGAATGGTTGGAATTGAGTATTTGCTTCAATAATGAATGCCCCAGTAGAAAATATGTGTTTGTTTATGCTATAAGATATAGCATTTCTTAGGAATATATGAAAGTATGATCTCTTTATCTGTCGTCACTTATGCCTTATAACGTCAATAGCCTCTTTAGGAAAAGCACTTCTTGGCACTTACCCTCTTTGAAATGTCAAAGTTCCCAACATCCCATGGCGCGAACCTCACTTTAGAATTCTTAATCCTAAGCAAGCTTTTCAGTTGACCCAAAAAAAAAAAAAAAAAAGTTGAAGTCAAATTCATTGATCGAACTATGCGACTAACAAGGTTCTTGGTAAGATAAAGGGAATTGTATTTCTTAAATAGTTACTCAGGCATTCGAAGTTATGCGTTTGAATTTTAATCCGTCAATATCCCTTATATAAAAAGAAAAAGTTCTTCTCCCTCCCTGTATAATAAATATATGATCAAAGAGTACATACTTCACACCTGTAGTAAAAATTCAACTCTACTTCTGTTTTAGTATTTATCATTTATTGATACGAAGTTACGAACTCACAAATTATTATATTTTATACAAGCGCAATCACAAATAATTGATGACGCCAATTTGTACAATAAACATGTAAAATTTCCAGATAAAAAAACATTTTAATTTTGTTAGAAATATCCATTAAAAATTGATTGAGGGAACATATGATGAGATGAGAGCCAAAAAATAAACGTCATGCATGCAAAAGAAAACAAAAATATTGAAAACCAGGACTGAGTAGGAAAAACAAGAATAAGGGGAGCAAAATTTGGATGCATTCTTCACAAAAAAGTAATTTTTTTTTAAAAACACCAGAAAGGTAGCCAAGTGTGCTCCAATCCAGGCATGAAAAGATCAAATTGCATTAACGTCTCATTTAATGTCCTCAACTACACTGAGGTCCTATTCAGAAGCTGCAGTTTCATTGCATTAAATGCTTCTCTCTCTAGATTCTTGCTTGCAACCACATGCAACAATCCATCTTTCTTTAATTTCCCTTCAAGAAATTCACCTTACCACCCAACACACATTCAAAGCAAAATTTTATGGACAGAGAAGTACCAGATTATTGTTCCTATTTTTGAGTTTTGTTGATAGCCTGAAACAAAACTAAGTACGTGGTCGAAAAGGTTATTTACTTTCTGTTTCTGATTCAAATTTGGAGAAATCTTGGAATCATTTTTTAGTGCTAAGATTTATTTTTCAGCAGAAAGTGAAGAAACAGGAGGTTTTTGCACATCGGTGTTGATAAACAGAGTATGAGTAGGTGTGGGTTTCCTTAAAGTTGTTGCCTTTACTAATCTTCTGCAAAAGTTCTCTGTTTCAGAAAGGGCTTTTCTGATTTGGTCCTGCTTGGTTTGACTGATCTGTAGCTTCTGGTACGTTGGTTTGTTGCGCATTCACCTATTTTTCTGTTTATTCATGGCGACTTAGTTTCATCGTTGCCTTTTTCTTCATTTCCATTATGGAGAAAAGGGGAGTGTAATGTCGTTTCAGTTCTTTAGAAAAACTTCAAAAAGACAGCTTTTTCCTTGTAGAGTACTGCAATATATGCTGCTTTGTTGTGTTGAACTGTGGTGGATATCTGACTTTCTCATTTCGAATTGGTCAGAAGGAAAAGTCAGGAACTTTAGGTGGTGGAGTAAATTTTATCTTTGAATAGTTATATTGGCTTGTAATGGGGATTTTTTTAAAGGATTTCCTGATCTGGGTCCTTAATTTCAGCATACTGAGAGCTGGGTTTCTTGTTAAACTAGCAATTTTATCAGATTTATGGTGTTTAGCTTCAGGACTAGGTTCCATGTCAGCCATTGCAGTTTCTTACGGGGAGAAAGGTCCAGTTTTCTGTGGTTTAAAGTTAGATGGGTCTCATCTTGTGACCTGTTATGGATCAAACTCAGCAATAACATATGGAACTCCAAGTCGTTTCCCATTTATTGGTCTAACTGCTGGTGATGGCTTTGTTTGTGGACTTCTCATGGAGTCCAACCAGCCATATTGTTGGGGAAGCAGTGGTTATATCCAAATGGGTGTCCCTCAACCCATTATTAAAGAAGCTCAATATGTAGAAATCAGTGCTGGTGATTACCATTTGTGTGGATTGCGAAAACCTTTAACCGGCAGGCTCAGAAACACCTCTTTTGTTGATTGTTGGGGTTACAACATGACCAAAAGCTATGTGTTTGATGGACAGGTTCAGTCAATATCAGCAGGCTCAGAATTCAATTGTGGATTGTTTTCTCAGAACAGGACAGTGTTTTGCTGGGGTGATGAGACTAGTAGCAGGGTTATCAGCTTGATCCCGAAAAAATTCAGGTTTCGGAAGATTGCAGCTGGTGGGTATCATGTATGTGGGATTTTAGAGAGCGTGAATTCTAGACCCTATTGTTGGGGAAGAAGCTTGGACATTGAAGAAGAAATCTCAGTGACGTATTCGGATCAAGGCAATGTTGATTTGGCCCCAAATGAACCAATGCTCTCAGTTGTGGGAGGGAAGTTCCACGCTTGTGGGATTAAGAGCTCTGACCGTGGGGTGATTTGTTGGGGATTTATTGTGAAACCAAGTACACCGGCTCCGAAAAGTATGAAGGTTTATGAGATTGCTGCTGGAAATTACTTCACTTGTGGAGTTATTGCTGACAAATCATTCTTACCTGTTTGTTGGGGTCTTGGATTTCCAACTTCTCTTCCCTTAGCTGTGGCACCTGGATTCTGCAAGTCTACTCCTTGTGCTCCTGGTTTCTACGAGTTTAGTCATGAGAGTGCCTCTTGCAAATATCCTAACTCTCACATATGTATGCCTTGCAGCGATGGTTGTCCTGCTGAAATGTACCAAAAAACCGGATGCACTCTGAAATCTGATAGACAGTGTGAATATAACTGTTCTAATTGTTACTCAGCTGACTGCTTTTCAAATTGTTCATCTTCGTATTCCAATGCCAAGAATAATGAAAGGTTTTGGTCAATGCAATTACCTATCATAATTGCAGAGATTGCCTTTGCTGTGTTCTTGGTTAGTGTTGTGTCTATAACTGCATTTTTATATGTTCGCTATAAGTTACGAGACTGTCAGTGCACAGCAAAAGATTCGAAGTCTAAAAAGAATATTCAGAGTGGTTCTCCTTTCCATAAAGACAATGGTAAGATTCGTCCCGATTTGGATGACCTGAAGATAAGGAGGGCTCAGATGTTCACTTATGAGGAGCTTGAAAGGGCTACAGCCGGCTTTGAAGAAGTGTCTGTTGTGGGAAAGGGCAGCTTCTCCTGTGTTTTCAGAGGTGTTTTGAAAGATGGTACAGTTGTTGCTGTCAAAAGGGCTATAGTGTCTCCTAACATGCAAAAGAATTCGAAAGAGTTCCATACAGAGCTAGACTTGCTCTCAAGATTAAACCATGCGCATTTACTCAATCTGCTTGGCTATTGTGAAGAAGGTGGGGAAAGGCTTCTTGTTTATGAGTTCATGGCTCATGGATCATTGCATCAACACCTCCATGGAAAGAACAAAGCCTTGAAAGAGCAATTGGATTGGGTTCGAAGGGTCACTATTGCAGTCCAGGCAGCTCGGGGAATTGAATACTTGCATGGTTACGCTTGCCCACCGGTGATTCATCGAGACATTAAGTCTTCAAACATCCTCATTGATGAAGAACACAATGCTCGAGTGTCTGATTTTGGTTTATCATTATTGGGACCTGCAGATAGTGGATCCCCATTGGCGGAGCTACCAGCTGGAACTCTTGGGTATCTTGATCCTGAGTACTACAGACTTCACTACCTTACAACCAAATCTGATGTTTATAGTTTTGGTGTTTTGCTGTTGGAGATTCTTAGTGGCAGAAAAGCCATTGATATGCAATATGAAGATGGAAATATAGTTGAATGGGCAGTGCCTCTTATCAAGTCAGGAGAGATAAATGCAATTCTGGATCCAGTTTTGAAACCCCCACCTGACCTTGAAGCCTTGAAAAGAATTGCCAATGTAGCCTGCAAGTGTGTGAGAATGAGAGGGAAGGAGAGGCCATCAATGGATAAAGTGACGACAGCACTAGAACGAGCTCTTGCACTGTTAATGGGCAGCCCGTGTAACGAGCAACCTATTTTGCCAACTGAGGTGGTACTGGGAAGTAGTAGATTGCACAAAAAGTCCTCTCAAAGATCTTCAAACAGGTCGGTCGACACTGATGTGGTAGAATCGGAAAGGTTTGAATTCAGAGCTCCTTCATGGATCACATTCCCAAGTGTTGCCTCTTCCCAAAGGAGGAAGTCCTCAGTCTCAGACGCCGATGCAGATGGGAAGAACTTAGAAGCTAGAAACTTGGGCAATTGTGGGAGCGGTGGTGATGGGTTGAGGAGTTTGGAGGAAGAGATTGGACCTGCTTCACCTCAAGAGAAGTTGTTCTTGCAGCACAACTTTTAAACTGACCAACCAAGCTTATCAAACTTGATCCATGTTCACAGGTTTGCTTGCATTTATTTTCCTGGAGGATGAAATGTAAAAAGATGAATGGGAGGATGTAAGTTTCTCAACTACTAAATTTCAGCTCTTCTTTTGTCTATTCAGTTCTAACAATTTGTTGAATGAAATTCTCCTTTCACACTAAATTTCAGCATCTTAGTAAGACTGTATTCTTCTATTTCGTTTTCAGTTGTGTACCAGCTGCATTTAAATATTTCTTAGCTATTTATTTTATATGTCAAATTTTACACAGGCAATTTAATTTATGTTGATGTTGGTGGTTTAGAAACTGGAATTTCTGTGTTGATAGTGGACTTACAAGTTCTGCCAGCCAAAAAAAAAAGAAAAATGAGACTAAAATAGCGTTTAAAAGCACTGTGGGCTACGCCAATAACGTTTAAAAGTAGGGACGGACCTATAATTTTAAAATAGGGTGGGCTAAAATTATCTTATGTACGCACCAAAGAGTGGAACATAAAGGTGCAGTTACTGAGCGTACCAATTTTTTCTTTTATTTATTTATTTTTTCACTTAAAGGGATTATGTGTGAAGAGGGTTATCAGTGAAAGGAAAATTAGCAATAGAATGTTCATAAAAACATTAAATAAAAAGAAGTTCGCAGTAGGCTAAAAAAGTCAGAACGAGACGGAAATACTTTTCATTTTAGAAAGAACTTTACATAGATGTCCTACACAAGAATGTCCTGAAATAGTCAAAGAGAATTGAATTCATTAGTTTGTCTTATCTTCTTTTCCTTGAGTGTATTGTTGGATGAGCGATGAGCCTTGGTTTGGTGTGAGCCTTTGAATGTGAGTGTGGCATGATTGTCATTAGTAGAGGTATTTAGTTATATATCCATTCTTAGCACTAGTAATATAGATAAACCCTACACCATTTAATTTCTATAAACGAACCCAAAATAGGACAGCTGGCCTTGTTGAATTTAATTTTGATTATTAAATTACTTTGATGCCTTGTTGAGTGTTTTGGGTTTTTTTTAATGAGATTTTGAGGTTGGGCTTATTTTAAGAAATCGATGATAGTTTTGTAATTTTTATGTTGTAAATGAGCTTTGGGTGTGTTTCTAAAGTCCATTTCATGTATAGTTTTTTTTATAAGGCTTAATTACACTAATGCCCTCTGAAACTTCTGTCAAATCTCACTTTGCTTCCCCAAACTCTAAATGGTCCACTTTCATCCCTTGACCAAGGTTTGCACTATTAACTTTGATGACGTGGCAGGGGTGTTTTTGTAATTTCATACACATGGATAATTACCCACTCAAGTAGAGCCTACTCCACATAGATAAAAACATAATTAAATAATTAATAATAATTAATAATTAAAAACATAAAAAACTACATATAAACAAAATAAAATTTTAAAACAAACAAAAATAAAATTAAAAAACAAACAAACCCATTCCATCGTATGCCGTACACAACCACCTCCATCCCGACCTCTCCTTCTCTCCCACTTTCTCCATCCTTCTCTTCTTCTCTCTCCCCCTCTGTGTTTTTCTCGGAATCGAGCCAATCCCGCAAAACGCCCCATCTCACTAACTTTCTCCTAAATCCATGGCCACGGTGGCGGCGGCTCTGCAATTTGAGATCATATGGCTCAGATCTGGGGGACTGGGATGAGAGAGGGGGAGATAGTGGGGTTGAAGGCCAGATCTATTGAGGTTGAACTCAAAACCTGGTAAGTGGAAAGCAAAAATGGCAACCCCACAAGCAAATATCCACAAAATATAGATGTCCTACACAAGAATGTCCTGAAATAGTCAAAGAGAATTGAATTCATTAGTTTGTCTTATCTTCTTTTCCTTGAGTGTATTGTTGGATGAGCGATGAGCCTTGGTTTGGTGTGAGCCTTTGAATGTGAGTGTGGCATGATTGTCATTAGTAGAGGTATTTAGTTATATATCCATTCTTAGCACTAGTAATATAGATAAACCCTACACCATTTAATTTCTATAAACGAACCCAAAATAGGACAGCTGGCCTTGTTGAATTTAATTTTGATTATTAAATTACTTTGATGCCTTGTTGATGCCTTGTAAATGGGCTTTGGGTGTGTTTCTAAAGTCCATTTCATGTATGGTTTTTTTTATAAGGCTTAATTACACTAATGCCCTCTGAAACTTCTGTCAAATCTCACTTTGCTTCCCCAAACTCTAAATGGCCCATTTTCATCCCTTGACCGAGGTTTGCACTATTAACTTTGAACTTTGCTTCCCCAAACTCTAAATGGTCCACTTTCATCCCTTGACCAAGGTTTGCACTATTAACTTTGATGACGTGGCAGGGGTGTTTTTGTAATTTCATACACATGGATAATTACCCACTCAAGTAGAGCCTACTCCACATAGATAAAAACATAATTAAATAATTAATAATAATTAATAATTAAAAACATAAAAAACTACATCTAAACAAAATAAAATTTAAAAAGTAACAAAAATAAAATTAAAAAACAAACAAACCCATTCCAGGGTTGTATTGATCTTAGACTTAATTACACTAATGCTCCCTGAAACTTCGGTCAAATCTTACTTTACCAAGGTTTGGTGACTCACTTTGCCCCCTGCTGTCAACTCCATTAAAAACTCTGTTAACTTTGATGACGTGGCAAGGGTGTTTTTGTAATTTCATACATATGGATAATTACCCACTCAAGTAGAGCCTACTCCACATAGATAAAAACATAATTAAATAATTAATAATAATTAATAATTAAAAACATAAAAAACTACATATAAACAAAATAAAATTTTAAAACAAACAAAAATAAAATTAAAAAACAAACAAACCCATTCCATCGTATGCCGTACACAACCACCTCCATCCCGACCTCTCCTTCTCTCCCACTTTCTCCATCCTTCTCTTCTTCTCTCTCCCCCTCTGTGTTTTTCTCGGAATCGAGCCAATCCCGCAAAACGCCCCATCTCACTAACTTTCTCCTAAATCCATGGCCACGGTGGCGGCGGCTCTGCAATTTGAGATCATATGGCTCAGATCTGGGGGACTGGGATGAGAGAGGGGGAGATAGTGGGGTTGAAGGCCAGATCTATTGAGGTTGAACTCAAAACCTAGTAACTGGAAAGCGAAAATGGCAACCCCACAAACAAACATCCACAAAATATCAATAAATAAAAAAATATCCACAAAATATGAAGAACTTAAAACCTAAAAAACAAAATCTGAGGGTGCCGTAGTGGAACTCATCCGGCGCCTCCTGATCTAGACGGCGACACATTGGAACTCATACAAACCATGTCTACGCCAGCAAAGATTTTAAATTTTCTTGTTTTCTAAAATTTAAGAAAGAAATAAAAACCACTTGAAAGAAGGAAATGAATGATGAGATATGTATATGATGAAAGAGACGAACATATGGAGAAATGGATAAAGGTTGTTTTCTTTTTGGTTGATTTTCTGTGTAAATTGGAATTGGCGTGAACAGGGGTGGTGGGTTTTGAGTTTTTGACAATTTGGATTGTATTGACTTTTTTAGAGAAAAGGAATTTGGAAGAAAGTGTCTCCTTTCTTTCCTTCTCTACAAAGTGGTTGGTCTACCATTTCCAAACTTTTCCAGAATTACTCAAGCCACTGTACCTAGCCTTAGACCCAAGCCCCGATTTGCAGGCCCCAAGCCATTGTACCTCTTTGTCTCTCTACCTCCCCCAAAATTTATCAAGTTTGATTTTGGATTTAGGGTTGATGAAGAGATGAAATTTGAGGAAATAGCTTGAGAAGACGAGCAGAAGGAGGTGTGTATCGGGTAAGACAGAAAGAGAAAGGGGGGGCGGCTAGGGATGAGCACAGGGAAGGCTGAGATGGGGGTGGGGAGGGATGGGTTTGTTTGTTTTTTTAATTTTTTTTTGTTACTTTTTAAATTTTATTTGTATATATGTTTTTATTTTAATTTTTAATTATTAAAATTATTTAATTATATTTTTATTTATGTAGAAGTGGGCTCTACTTGCCATGTCACCCACTTAATTGGTGAGTAATGGTCCATATATATGAAATTACAAAAACACCCATACCACGTCATTAGATTTAACAGAATTTTGGATGGAGTTGACGGCATGAGGCAAAGTTGGTCACCAAACCTCGGTCAAGGGATGAAAATGGGCCACTTTAACTTTAAGGAGGTAAAGTGAGATTTGACTGAAATTTCAGGAGGCACTACAGTAAATAAGCCTTTTATAATTTAGGTTTCTATATTGGGCATAATAGTGAAACTCCCAATCAAATTTTAGGCTGATAGAATAACAACTCACATGGGCTATATAGCCCAAGTTAGTCCCTTCTAGGGACCGTACCTATTTAAAAGCACATGCGGGCATTCCCCGGTTCCCTTGCACCTGAGTTCGAACTCCATCCCCAATAGCTTAGAATATCGTCATTGTAAAAAAATTAGTTTAAAATAATTCAGCAAACTTGAATAAAAATCACGTGATTGTTGATTCATTTTCCAACAAAGTTTAATAAAGAAAAAATAAGATGCCCTCACGCAGGATCGAACTGCGGACCTTCAGTTTACAAGACTGACGCTCTACCACTGAGCTATAAGGGCTGTTGTTGTCTACAAAAGCTTATATTAATTATATATATTGTTGTAACCTAGAAAGAATATGAGTTAAATTTTGAAGTCATGATCTGTTCCAACAATATCAGAATAAATAAATAAAAAATGAACAAGAAAATGCTTCCAAGTTCTCAACTAAAAATCTTATCCCCCATAATAAAATAAAAAATTTGGACCAAGTCAGGCCTATGAATATTAATTGCTTCCCAACTACAGTCTCACATCCAAATCCCAAAATTGAAGCTAAACTCATTATTCAACCAAAATTTCTTCACATTTCTCTTGCAGGACCATCTAGAACTCATAGTTACAATTACAATATCATCAACATTTTTGCTATATGCCATAAACTTCTTCTCTTTAGACTTTGTAAATGAAACTCGGTTTTTCTTTGTATACATATATTATATATATTTATTCTGGTGCTCGACGTTGGCACATTTTTTCGTTCAATGAATTGGTTGTTCTTTTATGCATGAGCGTAGGTCTGGCATCTGCAAAACTAGTAGCCACCAATCTCAGAAACGAACCCGATCACATGGCGTTGCTCGAATTCAAGAAAAGAATAACCGAAGATCCTCT